GGGAAACAAACAACAAGCAAAATGAATGGAGACTGTATTAGTCTGTTCTCATGCTGCTGAAAAAGACATAAGTGAGACTGGGTAATTTATAAAGAAAAGGAGGCTTAATGAACTCACAGTTCCACAAAGCTGGGGAGGCCTCACAACCATGGTGGAAGGTGAAGGAGGAGCAAAAGCATGTCTTACATGGCGATAGGGAAGAGAGTGTGTGCAGGGAAGCTCCCCTTTATAAAACCATCTGATCTCTTGAGGCTTATTCACTATCATGAGAACAGCACGGGAAAGACCTACCCCCATGATTCAATTACCTCCGCCAGGTCTGTCCCACAGCATATGGGAATTATGGGAGCTACAATTCAACATGAGATTTGGGTGGGGACACAGCCAAACCATATCACAGACTATATATGTAAAAACTGGGAAGAGGGCTGGATGTTCAGGATAGGGCTTGCTGAGAAAGCGACTTTTGAGTAAAGATATAGACTTGAGGGAACTGGCCAGAAGGATGTGCAGGCAAATGCTGGAGCTGAGGCACCCAAGTGAGATGTGCCTGGTGAGTCTGATGAGTGGCTGGTGCGGCTGGAAAGGAGAAAACCAGGGGCAGAGATGGGATGTGAGTGCTGGGCCTTGCAGGCATTTAACAAGAAGGCGGTGGAGGCCCTTGGAGGGTTCTGATCAGAGAAGGACAGGGCATGGTAATGTTTCCCCTGGCCCGGGGGTCTCCTCAGGCTCCACTGGGGGCTCCCCAACCTACCCTAATCACATCATTCCTTTCCTTCCGCCTTCCCTGACTCAAGCACTGCTTGGGCCCCAAGCGTGGCTGTCTGGTGAAGCAGCCCCTTCACTTTCCCTTTCATCCTATTTCTCCTCAGGGCCCAGACAAGCACTCAGGGCTGGGTGAGGGCAGGGGGTGAGTAACAGCTTCTGTGTTGTGCTCAGAATCCTCCAAATACTCTCTTCCACACGCTCTGGCTTTGCAGCTCACAGAGTTCATTGTGCCCTGCTCAATCGCTGCCTTGAATGGGCCCTCCTGGGGAGTCCTCAGTCCCTGGAGATGTGCTTCTCTTAAGTCGCCTCATCAGTTGGTCAGACATGCCCAGGTAGGTCTGAATCTTTGCAGGGGCTTCTGCTGGAGTCCACTCCTGGAAAGTGCCTCATCCCTAGATGTCAGACATCAGAGGGTCTGAGTATCACCAGATGTGCCAGACACCCCAGGACCCCTGTGGAGGACCCAGCCCAGACACTTCTCCGAGGCCTCTTTGCCTATCCCCCTTATGTCAAAGATGGTCCCCTTTGCTGGATGACCATATAGGCCTGCTTTCTCACTGGAGACAGGAGTGGATTCTAGGTCTGGTTAAGCATAGACCACTTGTCTGTGGACATGGAGAGCCTTCATGTGGGGCTGGATGGCATCAGCATCTTCCAGAGCTGGAGACCTTGGCAAGGTCACCTTCCCATCTGAACTCCAGCGGTCCGATAGGGCTGTGGGCTTCGTGGGGGCTTCAGCAATGTTTATGGAGAGCTTACTGTGTGCCGGGCACTGTGCCAGGCTCCTTACCTGGCCATCTCATTTATCCTCACAAATGTTCCGTGAGGAAGGCACTACTATTTTCAACCCCATTTTCCAGAAGACGAAACTGAGGCTCGGTGAGGTGGACCAAACTGGCAAATGGTAGAGCTGGAGGATAAACACTAGGATTCTGACTCCACAGCCAGTGTTCTTAACCAATTCTTTGGAAGTAAAGAAAAATTAAATAGAGTTCAGAGAGGTAAGGCCTCCTTACCTGAGGAGAGTCAACTCTAAGGTACAGGGCAGACAGGGCTGGGGAAAGGTTCAGAGGTGGCACACTTTTTGTTTTTAAAGAATCAGATAGTGTTTTCAGATTCTCAGGTCATATCATCTCTGTCATACATACTCAGCTCTGCTCTTCAGCTCCAAAGAGAATATGTTAACAAGTGGATGTGACTGTGTTCTAATAAAACTTTATTTACAAAAACAAGTGGTGGCCCTTGGACCACGGTTTGCCACTCCTGGTGTAGAGAAAAGAATGTGGAGTTTGGAGGAGCCAGGCCTTTATTCGATGTCACTGACACACTGGGTGGCCTTGGATTAGACATTTAACCTTTTCACTTTTGGTTTCATCATGTCTGATCACTATGGGTTACTTATTAACTGATGTATTTTGAAATGATTGATTGAGTCCCTTGTAAGAAGCAGTTACTGTGCTAGGAGCTGGCAGTCCAGCAGGGATCAAGTCAGATGTGGTCCTGCTCTGTGGAGTTGCACCAGTGAGGAGGAAGAGAGGCAGCATTCGATAAGGAAATAACCTATCGTGGTGCTTGACTCTTGGCAGAAATCCAACAAACATTACATCTTTCCTGCTGTAGGCCCCCCACCTCATCTTTCAGGACTCACTGGCTTTGAGTTTGTCATCATTCTTGCCCATACTGAGTGACAAGGTAGGAGCATGTGGTGTCACCAGGACTTTAATATGTTTATAACATATTATTATGCAATGCAGGCCTAATTTTGGATCATAATTTTCCATTAACTGATCTCATTTTACTTGGTAATATCCATTTAGGTATTCAAGAGCAATAAAACTACATTTCTTTTAAATATTATATGATTCAGTTGGTTCACTGATTTAGATTTTTACTACCCCCCATTCCAAACGAATGAGTCATACATCTTTTTAGAGATAACAAGGACCTTCAAGAGCACGCATGCTTGTGCTACCCTTCAAGCATGCCTAGTAGGGGAGAAGAATGAGAAAGTTCGGGGATGGAGCTTTGTGCAGGCCGCTGCAATCCTGACAATGCTGTGTCTTAGAAGTGTTTGCATAGTTTGCATTTTATTCTTCAATATATCCTAAGCTGTTTAATTTTCTGACTTTGCTTTTACGTTTTTAAGGAAAATCAGTCACCGAGATGGTATGCCATGTTTGTCTTTGTACTTCACGTACGTTAGCAGCCCATTGCCATATAGAGGCTGTATAGCATAGTTGGGGGACTACTGCCTGGGGAGAGTCTTCCCAGGATTGAAATCCAGCTACTGCACTTCCTTCTGTGTGAACCTGGGCAAGTTTTTTATTCTCTCTGTGCCTCACTTTCTTTATATATAAAATGAAGATGACAACAATTCCTACCCTATAGGGTGAGATGAGTTGATAAGAGAAAATGCTGGCTCATGGTAGGAGTGAACACTCGGCAAGTGTTAGCTCTGATGGTTATCCCAGGAGTTACAGGGGTGTCCCATTTAGAGGACGTGGCCTGGAGAAGTACCTTATGCATGTGCACCCAGTGAGTTCAGCACCTGGGAGTTCGTTTACAGATCTTTTTGCATCTCGCACACTGAGATTTCTGGCATCTCTGCTTTCAGGATCATGGGCTTGCTAAGTCCCCTTCTACTCTTGATGGCATCTGCCTGCTTCCAGTGATGGAGGCTTCCTGCCACTGGAGCACCCCTTCCATGGTAGGAGGAGCCTGTGTTTTGGAAGGCTCTCCCTTTTGTTCCCAGGTAGTCTCCTCTCTTCCAGATGGGTTTTCAGGAGAGCATCACGAGTGGAGGTGGCAGTTGATAGCCCCAAGCTCTCCAGCCTGGAAGACCTCAGAATGCTAACCCCTTGCCCATCTCCAGCCTATACTTAGGTGCGCCATGCACCCATTGGCTCCATACAGGCCAACAAGGGGATGTGGGCAGGTGTCCCAAGCCTGCCTCTCCTGCCTGTCTCTCCTGTCCCTGACCCGCTTCTGTTTTTTCTGGTCACTGTCTCATTCCAGGCTCCTGGCTCCATTTCTTACTTCCCTCATGAATTTGTGAGCATAGAAGGCCCTGTCCAGTGGGCTTGCCATCTCTGTCCAATTTCTCTGATTTCTGACCTCAAATGATTCACCTGATGACCTGTCCCAGGGAACTAATTCCAAAGTCCTGGACTATCAGTCTATGTCCTGGCAAGATCTCTTTTAGCTCCCATAAAAGAGAGATTTCAATAACCCTCCCTTGCTATAATAACCCTAACTGCCATTGGCTGTGCACTTGTTCTGAGACATAAACTGATCTAAATGCTTTATACACTTTATTTAATGGAATCCTCACAATCTCTGGAGGGTGGTTGGGTATTATCATCTCCGCATTCTAGGTGGGAGAATTTGGGCCTTGGGAGGTTGACTGTGCTATGGTCACGTAGCCAGTACGTGGTGGAGCAGTGACTGGAATCCATGACGGTGTGACTTCAAAGTCTCTGCTCTTACCGTTAGTGATGCCCCTCCATTTTTCTGGGACGTTCCTGGGAAACCACGCGCTGGCCTTGAGCTGCCTCCACCAAGTCCACCAGGGCTCCCATGAGCAGGGCCCAGAGTGTAGGGCAGGCTGGGTGTGGCTTGACTGTCACCTGTGTCATGGATCCACTATTCTGGTGGACAGTGTCTAGAAGCAGCAGGAGGCAGTCTGGCTGGGGTGCTGATAGTCAGGCGAATGTCACATGGTGCACGAGGCAACTCACTGCAGGACCAGACGGTGAAGAGAGAGGGAGAAGGGCTGGCAAGAACTGGGTGGAGGAGTAGACTCCCAGCTTGGGTGCCTCAATGTGGGGTGGACTCAGGAATTGCAGGAAATGGGGGTACAAGCTAGGAACAGAGAAGGAGATGCCCAGTTTGAGGGCTGGGGCCAGCATCTCTGGCAGGGAGGCAGACGGGGGAAAAAGGGGGTTTTGACTTGAAGCCATGGGGCATCAGGGTCACATCCATTAGCTTCTCAGCAGACCTTGTCAGGTGTATTTCTCGATCTCCTGTGCCTGGTGGTTGTGGGTTAGATGAATGCATGGATTCATGGATGAATGGGTCTTTGGAAAGCATGAAAACCCAAGTCAGCCCCAACCCCTGAAAGAAGGGGCTAAGATTGTTTTACCAAAGGCTGTTTGTGAAGAAGGGAAAGGGATTGTCATGGCACATGCAGGGGTGCACTCTGACCCACTGTGTCCTGTTCCTTCTTTCTCCAGAGGCTCCTGCCAAGCCTGAGGAGGCAGAGGCCGAGCCCTTCACAGACTCCTCTCTGTTTGCACACTGGGGCCAGGAGCTCAGCCCCGAAGGCCGGCGCGTGGCCCTGAAGCAGTTCCAGTACTACGGCTACAATGCCTACCTCAGCGACCGCCTGCCCCTGGACCGACCCCTGCCTGACCTCAGACCCAGTGGGTGAGCAGAGTCAGTGACCGGGACCTTGTTGACCTGCCTGTGGGGAGATGGGGTCCCCAGAGTGCTAGGAACAGAGCCAGGACTGGGCGCCTGGATTCCTGGGTCCCTTTCCTGCTTCAACCAGGGCCTGTCCCCTTGGCTTGCATTAGGCAAGTCACTCTTCTCTTCCCTCAGCCTCAGTTTCTCCATTAGCTGAGTAGGGGCAAAGCTTTCTTCCAGGAGAGATTTTGAGGATTAACAACTTAATTTACTCCTTAAGGGCACTACAGTCATCTCACATTCCTGTTAATATGTCATTTTAACCCAATTAGTTGCATTTTTATGAATAATCTTTTTTCTGTAAATTAGTTTTTAAAGTACATCCGTCTTGCGGGGCTAACAAGTCGTTACATCTAACAGACAAGTCTGTCTTGACTTCTCTCTTTGTTACAGGAGGATGTTCCTTTAAGGTTCAGTGAGAATTCTTATTACTCCCAATTATTAAAAATATGGGCACGTACCTCAGCTGAGAAAATCTCATTAATTTTTGTGAGCTCCCCCCACAGTGTTTCCCCCTCTTTCTCCTCATTTTTACATTTTATTTTTTAAAGCTGCAAACCATGGTGAGCTTATATCTGGAGTCTTGGAGAAAGGTCTTGCTGCTGGGTTTGCAGACTGTGTTCTTTTAGGGAGAAGATCCAGTTCAGCTCCACAGATATTCATTGAACACCTTCTATATACTGTATACTTGGGTATGGTTGGTTGTGGCTCAGAGAGAACTGGACTGGGCTAGGATGAAAGAGCAGCTGAGGATGTCCAAAGGGAGAGAAGAATATGCTTTCACTTGCAGGTCATTTATTAAGCACTTCTGTGCCAGCATAATCTAGGTACAGGGATGATATGGTTTGGCTGTGTCTCTACCCAAATCTCATCTTGGATTGTGGTTCCCATAATCCCCACATGTTGTGGGAGGGACCAGGTAGGAGGTAACTGAATCATGGGGGTAGTTTCCCCCATACTGTTCCCATGATAGTGAGTAAGTTCTCGTGAGATCTGATGGTTTTATAAGCATCTGGCATTTTCCCTGCTGGCTCTCATTCTCTCTCCTGCCATCCTGTGAAGAGGTGCCTTCCACCATGATTGTAAGTTTCCTGAGGCCTCCCAGACATGTGGAACTGTGAGTCAATTGAAACTCTTTCCTTTATAAATGACCCAGTCAGAGGTATTTCTTCATAGCAGCATGAGAATGGACTAACACAAGGGACAAAGCAGTGAACAAAACATACAGAAACCCCTGCTTCACAGAGCTGGCATTCTAGTTGGGGGGAGACAGAGAGTAAACAAAACAAAGAAGTCAAATATGTAGTATGTTAGATGGTGGTGAGTGCTGTGGAGAAATATAAAGTCGGAGAGAGAGACACCTGGGACAAGAGTGGGGAGTTGCAATTTTTCCTGGGTGGTCAGGGAAGACCTCACTAAGAGGTGACATTTGAGCAAAGACCTGGAGGAGAAGAGGAAGCAAGCCATGGGGGTACTGTTGGAGGATGGGGGGAGTACCTTTCAGGCAGAGGAAGTGGCAAGTACAAAGGCCCTGAGGCAGAAGCATGCATGCCATGTTGTGTTTGAAGAAGAGGAAGGAGGCCCCTGTGGCTGGAACGAGGTGTGCAAGGGGGCAGTAGTTGGAGATGAGGCCAGAGGAGCAACAGGAAGCAGATCATTAGGGCAATGGTTCTCAACCTTGCTGCACATTCTACACATCAGGAGAACCTTAAAAAATAATCCTGATGCGAAGGCCACACCCCAGACCAATTAAATAAGTGTTTCTAGGGGGGCACTCAGCTTCAGTATTGTTTAGAGCTCCTGGGTGATTCCGATGTGCAGTCAAGGTGAATCCCAGGAGACGGGCTTCATAGGCTTTTGCAAGGAGTGTGGCATTTACTCTGTGAGACAGAGATCCATGGGAAGGGCTTGAGCAGATTAGCAGTATGCTCTGATTGTCACTTGCAAAGGTGCCTCTGGCTGCTATGCTGAAAACAGACTGAAGGGGCAGGGCTGGGAGCATGGAGACCAGTTAGGAGGCTTCCAGGTGAGAGGCGATGGTGGCTTGGACCATGATGGCAGCAGAGGAGGTGCTGAGATGGGGTTAGATTTTGGAAATATCCTGAAGGTGACCTCAGCTAAGTGCCATAGGGCCTCAGTCCACAGAGGAGCTGCAGAGACCACTCCTGGGGCTGGAGAGGAGCTGGTCTGATAGGGGGAACACACAGGGGCTCTGGAGAAGGAGTAATTAGAAATAGGGCCCTCTAGTTCCTGCAGGGGACTTGGCTATGACCTCAGCCAGAAGAAGAGCCATGGACTTTTCAGTCAATCTGATACAAAACACAGGCACAGCTCAATACATATTTGTTCAAAATCAAAGGGAAAATGAAAAGGAAGCCAAGGAAAGGGTAGATTTTACAGATTGTAACCTGGTTATAACAACAACTGGGATTCACACAGTGCTGGACGTGCCGATAGTACCTTCCCATTTGGACCACGTCAACACTGCAGTGAAGGTACACCAGGCAATGGTAGATTCTTCCCATTTGAGTTGAGGAAAACAGAAGAGCAGAAAGAGTGTTGTCTGAGGTCACACAGTAAGATAAGCAGCCGAGCTGAGCCTTGAACCCATGTCTCAGATGCCGGATCGTGGCTTTGACATCGGCCTACCACTGTTTATTTTGACTGTGCACAATGCTGCACAGTAAGAGCCCAGGTGGGAGTCCTTCATCTTTGACTGAGAGAAGTGCCCCACCCACTCTCACCTGTGGGAGGAATTTGCCTGAGAGAGGGAGGAACTTTGAAGGACTTCAGGTGGGCAGAATTCTGCAGTTTTCTTTTTTTTTTTTTTAATTTTTTATTTTTTTTATTATTATACTTTGAGTTCTAGGGTACATGTGCATAACGTGCAGGTTTGTTACATATGTATACTTGTGCCATGTTGGTGTGCTGCAGCCATCAACTCGTCAGCACCCGTCAACTCGTCATTTACATCAGGTATAACTCCCAATGCCATCCCTCCCCCCCACCCCCCCCCCCCATGATAGGCCCTTCTCCTGAGCTGCTGGAGAGGAGCAATCGTCCTTATAGAAAGACCTTCCCTCTGCACAGAACTTTACAGTCTGTGGAGCTTCCACACCTCCCCCGTGGCACCAAGCAACTTCTGTCAGCCCCTTTTTCTAGAGAGAAAAACATAATCTCTGATAAAAGGCAGAGCAGAGCCTCCTCGCTCCTCAGGGAGGGCTCTGTGAAAGCGGCTTTAACAACGGAGGGTTCTCTTTGCACATGTACTTGGAAGGCTCTGTCTAGCTCTATTTCAGCTCACGTGCCAGACGCACGCCTAAGATTGGAGAGCTGTTGGTGAACCACACAAAACAAGTATGTGCTTAGGTAAAACAGTGCCTCCCTTTGTCTGTTAATTTCCATAAAAACATCCCTGCCTTGTAACAAGGCCATTGCTTGGCTCATCCTGCTTAATTCATTTTGGAAACATCTTTTCAAAATTTTACTCTTATCCTATTTCAAACCACACTGGCAAACATTTATATAGGATGAGCCATGTTTTCAGGCATATGTTTGTCACTTAATTTATAAGCACTCCTTGAGTCTTCACAGTAAAACCTTCTGAGGTAGGTCCTATGATTAGCCTCCATCTTACAGAAGAGGAAACTGAGGCATGGGGAGATGATATCTCCTGCCCAAGGTCACTAGTGGCGGAGCTGGGTCAGGTGGTCTGGCAATGGAATTTGTGCATGTAACCACTGTCCTACACTGCCTTGAGGCGTCCATTTGTGTCACTCTAATGGGAGCGGCAGGCCCACTTTAGCAATATAGCAGTGAGCATTTACTGATCAGTTTTGGAAGAAGGAAGGTTGGCGTCTACATGTTGGAAAAAACTGTTTTAGTGAACATGAAACCAAGGCTTGTTGCCAAGGCTTAGGATGATGCCTGGGCTCTGGCTAATGTTGGGATTTGGACGGAGAGGGTGGGTCAGCATGTGGAGAGGAAGCCCACAGTCACTGCAGTCTCTGGAAGATTCATGCTGTGTGGCTCTTGCCATAGTCAGAGTCCCTGTGCCTCTTGTGAATTCTGGTTTGCTCTTCGAGACTTCTGTCCCTGCTGCTTCTGTTGTGTACTTTGCTCTTGGTATTCTTGCTCTACTTTTCCAAATTCTAACCCTGATGTTATTCTTGGCTTCCTTCCTAGATCAGAAAGTGAGTGTTCAGAATCCTGCCCACCCTCCTTTCTCTCACCTCTAGCTAGTCACTTTGTCTCCTTTTTTTCTTGGTGCTGAAAGATGTAATCTGACCCAGCTTGTCATGTGGCTTAGATAGGACCACACTGTGCTCAGTGCCTTATATACAAGACAGGACACAACTAGAAGGAAAAACATCGGTCCAGCCAGTTGCTAGGCCCATTTATTTTTTCATCCAGCCAACATTTACTGAGCACGCATTGTGTGCCAGACACTCAACAAAGCACCAGACGGATATCTCCTGGAGTTTACACTGAGATGGGAACCCAGACAGAGGTGGTGGGAGGGCGAGGTAGTCATAAAGTCTGCTGACCATTTCCCAGGCTCCATGGTGGGGAGGACTTGTCCTCGCAGGCTTTTAGTAAGGCAGGGGCCTGGACGTGATGGCCACAGAAGCCCTGTCCCTCTGGTGCCTCTGTGGCAGGGAGGCAGGGCCTGGAGGGTGGCATCTGCAAGGCATCTCCCTGTACCCACTCCCCTGGGGAGAGTTGTTTCAACAGTCCAGACTCTAGAGAGACATCTGGGATCTTTGAACTTTGGGGGTTCCTGGCTTCATGGATAGGCAGAGTAATGGCATCCCAAAGATGTCCACATCCTAATCCCCCACACCTATGAATATGTAACAGGCATAGGAAGTACACCAGTTTTTCCAACCTCATCTACACAAAGAGGGGACAAACTTCCTCAAGGATCCAGGTCCCTTGGCTCCTGGAGAAATCAAAATGCC